GGCCGCGCCTGGGGGATGGGAGGGTGGGCAACTGGGCGGGGAGGGAGGGACCTCACCCCAGCCCCCCCAGGTCTCAGTTTCCCCCCATCGAGCTTGCCGCAGCCCCTCGGGGAGCCCCAGGGCGGGCAGGGGGCACGGTCACCTCCCTCCGCTCCTCCCAGGGCTGGTGCTCAGCACCCCCCAGCCCCCCTGTGCCCCCCTGTCCAAGCTGGGCGCGTTACCTGCTCCGTCCGGGCCTCGGGGCTGCTCAGCACGGAGGCAGAGAGGGGCTGGCACAGCACCCGCGAGCTCCTCCTCACCTGCAAAGCACAGCCACCCTCAGATTTGGGGGAGATGCCCCACCCCGCGCTCCCCCAGGGCAGCAAAACTCCACCCGGGGGTCCCCCAAGGCCACTGCTGCCACCTCTGGCACCCCCTTGGGGCGCCCCGTGAGCCGGCAGCACCCAGCTGGAAGAGCCTGTCCCAGCACCTGGCACCAAAGCGGAGCTCCTGGGTGCCCCACGGCCCCACCGTGGGCACCCTGCTGCCGTACGGATCCCGCGTGCCGCCGGGGCCAGCACCCAGCCAAAGGCGCTTTACTCCCAGCACCGTATCCACCCCTGTGTGGGTAATTAGTAACCATCAAGAGATGGCAAACGATCTTTAACCAGAGCCGCTGAGCACTCGAGGCTCTGTTCACCTTCAGTGCGGCCCAAGGTGGCTCCAAACCTGCCGAAGCGTCCCCAAACCTCTCCCCTTGTCCCCACGCATTACCCCCCGCACAGCCTCGTCCGGCAGAAGGGACATGGAGAGCGAAGGAGGGGATTGTCACTACTCACTAGCGCGGGAGCGGAGACAAACTTTGCACAGGCGTACATGGCGAGGGACGGAGGGACACACGCGCGGGACACGGCTGGAAGAGACAGACAGACACCGGAGCGTGAGGAGCCGCAGCGCGTGGGAGCCGGCCTCGCGGATGCGGGGTGGCCGCCGGGACAGGCAGGGCACCTGGGGACACACGGGAGGGCTGAACCATGCGGGAACGGCGGGGCAGGATGAGTCTTTGTCACCCAGGGGACAGCTCCTGGCCGAGTGCCACCACGGTGGCAGTTTGGGGCTAAGGAATTTGGGGTCCTGGAGTTGTTCCAGCACAGAGTCCTGGGGGGTTTCACCCGCCCGGGGGGGGCAACAGGAGCTCACAAGACCACTGGTCCCCATAAGGAAGGACGGGACCTTGGGGGTCCTGCCTCAGCCCTGCCTCCCGGGGCAGAGAACGGGGCAGCTCCGGGGGGGGGCACGGCCTGGGGACCCCCAGCCCTGGCCGGGGGATGTGGGGGCTGGAGAGGGCAGAGCGTGGGGGGCGAAACCTCAGCGTGGAGGGAGGTCACCCCAGAAGGTGGCGTGAGGGGATGTCACCCCAAAACAGTGGGGAGTCACCCCAAAACTCTGTGTGTGGGGGGGTCACTCCAAAACTCGGGGGGGGGACACCCCAAAACAGTGGGGGGTCACTCCAAAACAGTGGGGAGTCACCCCAAAACTCGGGGGGGGTGTCACTCCAAAACTCTGGGGGGGACGACACCCCAAAACAGTGGCGGGGGGACCCCAAAACTCTGTGTGGGGGTCACCCCAAAACAGTGGGGGGGTCACCCCAAAACTCTGTGTGGGCCACCCCAAAACAGGGGGGGGGGGTGTCACCCCAAGACTCTGTGTGTGTGGGTAGGGGTCACCCCAAAACTCGGCGG